TTATTATTTGATGATAAAAATTTAATGATAAGATTTTAGATATATTAGATATATTATTTTTATCAGCGAATTTATATTTTGATCGCATAAATCATTTAATTAATTTGCAAATATATTGTCTTACAAATTTCTTGTGACAATCTTGTGACAATATTGTGACGATATTGTAACAATCTATTTCTAATATAATTGTTTAGAAACTATCATAGTCTAACTAACAATCTAAAAGTTCTCGAACTGGCAACAATTTTACTATTCCTAGTTTTGTCGGAATTGCCAAGTCAATGGTATATTCATCACATTTTCTTATCACATTTCGTGTATTTTTTTCACATCGTTGAGCAATAAGAACCACCTTGATAACTTGACATACAAAAGTACCAAGTTTTGTAATAATTGTCTTATCTTTTTTGAGTTTTAGTTGATCGGTTGCTTTTAAATGTAGGTAAAGTAATTGTCGCCATACTTCTTCTGTAACAAATTCGGCCAATTCATTTATAGAAGGTTCTTCCCTAAAAATTAAATCATAAATTAAATTAATTTCTATATAAATTAATTTTATATTATTAATAGTACTTACCATTCATGAGTTATGGAAAACTCATTTGCAAGCTTTATGATACCCGTATGAAATTTATATCGATATGTATCATACCAGCCAGATACGTCTTTAATTAATGATCCCATACGCGAATCAGTTTTTGAAATTTTGCACACTTGTACAATTAACTCTTCGTATAGCTCAGTCGTGTTGTTTCTGGTCCGAAGGAAAAGTGCTTTGCATTCTTCTTGCAATTGAAATTTAATGTGCTAAAATTAAAATATTGTAAGTATAATAATAAAAATTTACATAAATACTTTTTAATTATACGATTATTACCTGATTAATCTCAGAAGAACTAGGTTCAAATGATATAGGATTATATAATGAATGAACATTATGTAAAGATATTTTCTTATTGGTTTTGCCCGTTACTACATCAGCTACCATCGCATTTTGAATACTTGTTGCCAAATTTAGAATTTTTGGATGCTGTGCTATCCATAAGGCAATTTCGAATTCATTAGATAGATTTCGAAACTCTAGCGTTTTTTCTCGTTGATAATGTTGACAAGAATCATTTTCATTATCTGTTAAATATATTATAATTATTTAATGAATTTAAAAAAAATTTTTTTTATTTAAAAAATAATTTCTACCTTGTATAGTCATTGAGGGTATATCGGTCATTATATTAGATTCATTTTCTGACAATTCATTAGAAAAATTTGAATCATCGACGAAAATATCATTAATTGCATAGTTTAAAGTTGATTTTAAATCTATAAATAAAATAAAATAAAATTAGATTATACTTTATGCTTTGCAATCTAAGTAATTTTCAATATACCTGATCCCTCTTCTTGATTTTTTTCCTCGTCACTATTTTCTTCGAAAGTAGTACTACTTTCTTCTTTATCACTATTATCTTTGATAATTTCTTCAATTTGCTCGCCTTGTTTTTGAACATTTATATTTTTGGCTACCAATTGACCCATGTTCTGATTAGTTATTTTCTGTCTTTTCTTTGGAAACAAGTCGGTAGATTGTACAGGGATTATTGTAGTCTTCGAGCCTACTTCTAAAAATATAAACAATGTAAATTCATTTATTTCAATAAATATATTACTGTACATACTAGTAGTCTTGCGTGTACTAGATCGTGTTTGCAATTTGTTTGTTATATTGTTAAGTGGGTGTTTTTTACTATTTTTAGTAACGGATTCTTGTACTATAATAAAAGAGTTTTTTTATAAAATAAACCAATAAATTTATCTTTTGAAAAAATTTTACTTACCATTTTGTTTTTTTTTACGAGGAGGCATAACTGATAATCCTTTTGAAATAAATTTGAGATGGGTTAAATACGTAAATAATAACTCTATTCTTTGATAATAATGACATATTGTGAAAAAAGTATAACTGAAGTAAAAAAAATATGATAACGATAATGATTATACACAGTATGATACGTAATTGAATGATCTACGTATATATGTAGTAATTTTAGTATGTAAATCCAAATCATATTAAAAAATTCTCTTTAATTATGAAGCGAACCACTCGTACATATATAAATATTTCAAAGTTGCGTATTAAACGACAACAATCTGATAATGAGAAAGAGTCTTCAAATATAATTCCAAAAGCACACAGAACTCAAACGCAAACACATACTATTAAAAAAACTAGCATAGAAGAATTTATAAGTACAGTAGCGGATAATAATATTGAGAATACTTCCTTTTCTGACCAGCAAGACTTGCCATTAATCGATCCTTTCTTTTCTAATCAACAAGACCAATATTGGACTGATGAAAAGGTTGGTAATTTATTAATATTAATAATCAGATAAGGTTTATTATACTATATATATTAACTTTAAAAAGATTATAACTAACATATATTTTTCGTTATGTAATAATAAGGAATTCGAACAATATAATAATAATTATCAAGAAAATATAAGCAATTTTATATACACAGATGGTATTTATAATTATACGTATTCCAGTTTATTTATAATAATAAATTCTTACAAATATTTTAAGAAAATCAAGTAGATACGCCATTGCTGGATACTGTAGAAGATT